GGAGGGACTGTGTCCAAAGTTTGCAACAAACTAGCCCTAGAGCTTTGGACATGGTGTCTCCAGAAAGACATAGTACTGAAAGCAGATTTCATCCCAGGTCGAGAAAATCTGATTGCAGATTGGGAGTCCAGACATCATTTAGACTCCAGCAATTGGAAACTTCATTCAAAGGTTTTCAATTCTATAATGAGGCAGACAATGATCTGCAACATAGATCTTTTCGCAGATCGGTCCAACAATCAACTTCAAACATACATAAGCTGGCTTCCCGATCCAGGAGCATTAGCGTTCAATGCTGTCCTACATCCTTTGGCAAGTTTCAAGGCTTATGCCTTCCCCCCTTTCTGCTTGATAGCTCAATGTCTGAAAAAAATCAAAGCAGAGAAAACAACTGTAGTTCTGGTAACTCCTGCTTGGATGGCACAGCCATGGTACGCAATATTGCTGGAAATGTCAAAACAACATCCAATTCTGTTGCCAACATTTCCACATCTGCTACATTCACGTCAAGGGGAACCTCACCCAATGATTCAAAACAATTCGCTTCAACTAGTCAGGTGGCTTGTCTCAGGAGATCATATCAAACAATGTCAATATCAGAGGAAGTTAAAAAACTTTTGCTCAGCTCCTGGGGGAAAGGAACTCAGAAATCTTACGATTCGGCCTGGAATAAGTGGGTTAGCTGGAGTGTGGAACGGGAAGTTGATCCCTTTTTAGCACCTCTAACCGCTGTTCTAGATTTTTTGGCATGAATGTTCTAAAAGGGGTTTCAATACAGAACAGTTAATGTCCATAGGTCTGCATAATCCTCTATTCTTCCTCATATTGATGGTCAACCAGTGGGACAGACACAATTAGTTAAAAAATTAATGAAGGGCATTTTGAGGGAAAATCCACCTTTACCTAAATATCAGGAAATGGGGGACATTGATATTGTTCTGAAATTTCTCATTTCTCAGTCTGTTAACCCTGATTTGGATCTTAAAACATTAACCAAGAAATTAGCAATTCTTTTAGCAATAGCTGCTCCGAAAAGATCTTCTGAAATTGCTAGACTCGAGATAAGATTTATGCAAATAAACTATGAAGGGGCTAAGTTTCAGCTCCCAAGTATATCAAAAACTCAATCTGATTGTAATTCAAAAGAAATATTTTATCCAAAATTTGAGGACAACCTTGAATTATGTGTGGTTGATTGTTTACAAGCTTATTTAAATCGTTCTGTAGATTTTCGAGTGAAGGATAAGTCTAAGCCAAATCCATTACTTAGAACTTTAGTTAAACCACACAGAGGTGCCTCGTCTAATACTATAGCTAATTGGATAAAGGATATTATGAAGTATTGATACAACTAAGTTTATGGCTCATTCAACTAGAGGGTCCTCAACTAGTAAGGCTAAATGTCAAGGAGTTTCTATATGAGAGATTTTGAAAATAGCTGATTGGTCAAATGCTTTAACTTTTATAAAATTCTATTTTAGACCATTGCTGGAGGATAGTACTAGTGATCAGTTTTCAAAGAAAGTATTAAGTTTACCTTCAGGTATGTTAGTAATTATGATTAACGCTTTAAACGTCCAATGTTATATCTTATGAGTTGTTCTGACGTATAATTGTAGATTTCATGAGGACGCGAAGCGTCCAATATGAAATATAGATTATACTAAGAAAATGATTAAGATATAACATTGCAATTTCCCTCCCAACCAATACCCAAAGATAATATTTTATGTGGATTAGTACAAAGAGTCAATGTATAAGAGACTATTCATGTCCAGATACTACATGTACATGATACACTATATATACACACGAAAAAAAAAAAAATAAATAAAAAAAAATCAAGATCTTTATATAAAATTATACATGTAGTAATGATAACATATCAATTGAATTGATAATATTTATTATGAAGAACAGGTTTATTATCATTAAACTTTATTTTTCAGATGCATCATCTATGGAGTCCTAGCAGTCAGAGAGATTGTGATGATTGACTTTTGAACTGTAATTTTATCGATTCGATTCATTCGTGATATAATGTTGAAGAAACATTGTGTTTAATTTCTTGTCAATAGACATTTCATAGATTCCAATAGAGACATGTTAAAGTTTTGGAATCAGTCAAGATTTGCAATACATTTTGTATATGTTATAGATATATCTTGTTGACCAATTAAATGGTGAAACAATATTCTTTTTATTAATCATATATGAAAGGAAAGGAAATTTGTACCAGCACTGGCAGTTGCAGCAGAATTATACATTTCTTGTTTTCAATATCCATGGTTTACAGTCGTCGTTGGTTATTATTGTTTTTGGTACATGTATGTTGATGAGTATAAAGAGGATTCTTATATATTCGAACTCGTTCGTTATGCCCGTGTCTGAAGTGACGTTTTGGATTTCAATAAGCGCACTCGTATGTATTACTGGTTAATTATTAAGTCAGGGATTTCGTTACCACAAATTACTTAAAACATTTACTAAATTTTTCCATAGATACAAAGATTTGGTTTGCAAATTTAGCTGTACCTGTAGAAAACTTATTTCAAACGGAATAGCACATCTTAAATTTTTCGGCGATGTTGTTAACCGAGACCGGAAATTTAGATACGGTCCGGGTAAACTTATCAATCGTTTAAATAAACTTTTTCTAAAAGGTTACCTATCCAGCACTGTAATTAAATCTTTGGATATTGTTTTATTGGTATAAATATTGGTTTTGTTATCAGTAAATAAAACTAAATATTACACATGTAATTTCACGGTACTGCAATCTGTCGATACCTACATTTTGGCATTGAACATGGTTATGTTTTTCTCTGACTATTAATGAAGTCTTTTCACTAAATCCATTGGATGTTGGATGTGTACTGATTGATATTTTAGTCTTAGATACATGATGTGGTTTTTATTAGTTATTGGCTTTGAACTAGCTGTCAGTAACTGCGATTACTTTCAGATCTGTACTTAGTGTCTTTTTTGTTGTTTGGGATGAGAGATAGATATATACCCTGCCACGTCTTGTCTGTGTTTTTGTTTGATGTTTTTCTTTGTATCGATCTGATGAGTAAAGCCTTTTTTACTTATTTTTATAGTTTGTTACTATGCTGTGCTGTTACACCACTCTCCCAGTTTGGAGAGGGTTGAGCGCTCCCAGACATATTAAACCCCGCCACATTCTTTATGTGCCCGTCGTAAGTCAGGAGCCTGTAGTTCAGTGGTTGTCGTTTGTTCACATCTGCCATATTTGTTTTTCGTAAATTGTTTTGTTGTAAATTATGCCGTTAGTTTTCTCAATTAAATAGTTTCATATTTTCATGTCGGAGCCTTTTATAGGTATGGGTTTTTCTCATTGTTGAAGGCCGCACGGTTGCATATAATTGCTTAAATCCACTTTATTAAACTTTGGTGGATAGTTATCTCATTGGCAATCGAACCACATCTCCTTATTTTTATATAGTTGCTAGAAAAGAAGAAATATTGCAATGCTTGAAATGATCTACAAAACAAAAACTCTTTACACTGCACTTCGGCACAATCTTATCACACAAAAGTATTCTTATTTGATTAAATGTTCTTTTGAAAAATCTGATTATAAATTTATTTGCCACCACTCAAGTAGCTGTAGTACATCCATTTGCCAACATTTATGTACGTTTCGACAAGAAATTTTATTGACAGGTTGTTGATATTACTTTTGACACCAGTTGTGCCTCTTTTATAGCAGACTTGATACATGTACTGTACTGTTACAATGTATTTATCATATACTTAAGGCAAATTACTTATAATTTTTACAGTATGATAATAGCATTAAATTTATAGCAGACTTGATATTGTACTGTTGTTTATTATATACTTAAGGCAAATTACTTAAAATTTTTACAGTATGATAATATCATTAAATTTACGTAAATACCATATTTTCTGTAATGGTGCTTAGCGGACTGATATGAAAACTTTAACAACTGCTTCCGGTTATTATCGCATGCCTTTCCGTAACGTTATCGGATGGCAATTCGGCGTCACTAGGCAAATTCGGAAAATACACCTCAATGGTACGTTTTCAGTGAAAAACATAACAAAGTAGGATAGGAAAAACAAATATTAGGAAACAGGAAAATATATTTTGAGTAATGCAAAACAAATGATACAATAAAGTGCATTATTTCAAAGTCTTAAAAATAGTAATTGTATGTATTTTTTTCTGATTAAGTAAAAAGATTTGAACTTCTAATTGAGAACCACTTAAAAGGATCAATGTATTAAACTGTTATTTTTCTCCATGTTGAAGCATATGATAAAAAGATCATAACATGTCATTTTTCATATCAGATGTATTATCAGCTCCTCGGTTAATATCAGTCCGCGAGCCTTCGGCTCTTGGGCTAATAATACATATGATATGAAAAATTCGGCTCTAAGGCTGATATTGACCCTTGGGCTGATAATACATCTGATATGAAAAATGCCATGTAATAATCTGATAGTATCACAGTTTGTGACTTAGTAATATTTTTAATAAATAAATTCAACAACGCTTATGGTTATATTTATGATTTTTCCCCTTAAATAATTAAAAATTCTCCAAATATACACTTTTATGTGTCCTTTCCTAGATATACATATAGGACAAACATAAAAGTGTGATAAAAGTAAAAAATTGTCTATTAAAGAAGTTGGCGGTTCTAAACCGATACAATTGTTAAGTAATTTCCCAAAATGAAGTTTATATCATGCTTCAAAAAAAAGTATGGGTCAAGTGGGTCAAGCAGCTTTTCTTTCAATCTGTAGATTGTGGGAAATTTTCATGTGTTTATAGATTATACATGGACCAACCAATTTTGTGTGATAGAAAGGAAACTATATAGAATTTTACGACTTAACAAATTTCTCACAGATTTCCCTAAAAAATCGGTTCAAAAACATGATTGCAAAAATAGTTTTTTTCCGTATTCTTTAATTAATCTGTTTATCTATTTTGAAATACTCACAGTATGCTAATAACAATGTCAATACTGATATGCCTGCTTTGATGCGATATTCATCTACAATAGTACAACATTTTCACTGCTTATTTTTAATTAATGTATAATTCCATAAACACAAATGGTCGTTTAAGCTGAACCTTTAAAATATGAGTTGTTGCATGTACACTTTCATGCTTGTTTCATATTTTGTTTATTACATGTCGTCCAATATTCTCTGTTAAAAGCAGTGACGGCATATTTATGAAAGGACATACAAAAAGACAAATTAAGTAGTACTAGTGAAGAACATTGTTAACAGTAGAACTGCAATTTGTTGTTGAATAAAAAAGCGTAAAGTAAAAGTAATGACGACAACAACAAATACCTTAGTTATTTAGACATTAATTTTTTCTGATTATTTTCAGGATTCCGTCTTTCATGAAAAAACACACTGATTCCCACAACAAATACACCAAAGATGATACAATCGTTATGCTTTGATAGAGAACATATTTGTTGAGTTCGATTGGTTGATATTTCAGCAGACAGTCAGTATTCCGGTGAATACTAATTGTGCAGTCACCACTACCAGGTGATTGTGAGTTTGTAATCATATGAAGCTGAATTTATAAAAAAACCTTTTCAAATACCAAACAAAAGCGTTATGTAAAAATCTTGTAATTTCACTTTTAGATATATTGATTTTGTCCTATAATTCAATGCCTCGACCTTTATAACGAAAATTCTAATAAAACGTTTTTTAAACGCTTTGAGTACACACCTGTGGTAAATTATAAAAATATTGTACTTTAGCTCATAGGCAACGTCAAGATTGATTTGGAATGTTCCCATCATACCCCCACGTCGTATGCTTTTTATGAATGAGTTAATCGATGTCAATTGGTGTAAATGACGCCATTGAACGATGACGTGAAAATATAAGCATTCTACGGGAAAATACACTAATGTGAAAAAGTCATCAAAACATGAAAACATGAAAACTTAAACTAACAATGAAACTTATTTGTTGCAAACAAATTTTCTTGGATAAAAATAAAATAATCATTTAACTTCGTCCAAACATGTCGAAGTATGTTATTGTAACTCGTTAAATCATGCCACAGTTTTCTTTTTATCTTTTTATCTTTTACGTCAATATCAAAAGCGTGTTTAATTAATAAACATTAAGTGTCGGTTTCTTAAGTCAGCATGTTAAGTAACTAAGGATAGATTATATGACTTCAAAATTTTGTCGGCTTTATTTAAGCAATAACATTTCGCTTTTTATTCAAAATACCAAACCTCCGTTAAAAATCAGTAGTTTTAGTATGGTTTATGTAAAAACAAGTTTTCAAACACCAATCTACACTGTCCACATTATACTTTATATTTGAAAATGTATGCTTTAAACATACTTATTCAGAAGGGATATAGTTACGATACTGTTGACAGGTCATTAAAGATAGCATATTTCGGTATTAATATTGATTCACTCATAGGGTCTATGCATCGGAGATAAACACATTTATTCTAAAAACAGTTGCTGGCATGATACAGGTTATGTTCTTTTCATATATTTTATGATGGTATGATACTAAACCCCTAACGGGAGGGATTGTGCTTGATTTTCATATGATGTTGACATAATCGATAATCTTTCAATCAATTTAAATGAGGTCTGGAGCTGGCAGGTCAGTAACTGCTAGTAGTCCTTTGTTAATGTATGTATCATTGTCATTTTGCTCAGTTTCTTTTGTTACCTATTCTGACATCGGACTCGGACTCCTTCTTAACTGAGTGTTACTGTGCCTATTGCTGTGTATTTGTTTATTGTACATTGGCTAGAGGTATATGAGGAAGGTTGGGATCTCATAAAACATGTTTAACCCCGCCTACTTTTTCCACCGGTCCCTAGTCAGGTATGTTTTTTAATTTTAGTTCAGTTATATGTTTTGGACTTTAGTATGACGTCCATTTTCACTGAACTAGTACATATTTTTTTAAAGGGCCAGCTTAAGCCCGCCTGCGGATGCGGGATTTTCTCGCTGTGTTGTAGACCGATCGGTGGCCTTCAGCTGTTTTTTGCTCTTTGGTCGGGTTGTCTCTTTGACACAATCCACATTTTCATTCTTAATGTTATTGAATCGTAGATTAGGTAAATTTGAGAATTTAACACAATGATGACTGCTGTATCCCTATTTTTGACATTTTTCTGTTTGTTTTGTTCACACATTGTTGTCAATATAATAGAATTTTATGCGACTGTCATATAAGTGAGAGGTTAAGCTTGCTTTAAAACCAGATTTAATCCATCATTTTCTAATTAAGGAAATGTCTGTACCGAGTTAGGAGTATGACATTCGTTTGATATGTTTAAGCTTTTGATTTTGCCAATTGTTAAGGGACTTTCCGTTTTAAATATTCCTTGGAGTTTGGTATTTTTGTTGTTTTACTTTTTGTTAACTCATGATAAATTGTATAATATAAATGTCAACAATATTGTAATAACTTATATTTTTTGTGTTTCTTCTTTTTTTTCAAAATAATGAAATGATCAGTATTCTTGCTTTTAAACTTTTTTCTCGAACATTGATAACCGTTGTTATTTATACAAAATTCATCGTCAATGAACAATGGCTAACAAAGATGGCAATTATGGTTAACCAACAACTTTTTTCATTGTAAAATAAATATATTAAAAATACAATAGTTAAGGGAAATTCCGTTTTGAATTTTCCTTGGAGTTCGGTATTTTTGTTGTTTTACTTTTTAAAAATACAACTTTCGGTAGAAATCAGCATCCGAAACGTTGTGTCATAAGTTTTTATTGAATTATCTATTGGTGAACAGTGTATGCAATGCTTTTGACATAAATGATCACATTAAAGACAAGTGGTCTTTTACATGATTTTTATCATATGTATATCATATTTGTTTTTCGTTTATTATTTTGTACATAATCAGGCCATTAGTTTTCTCGTTTGGGTTGTTTAACATTTGTCATTTCGAGGCCTTTTATAGCTGACTATGCGGTATGGGTTTTAGACATTGCTGAAGGCCGTACGGTGAACGATAGTTGTTAATTTCTGTGTCATTTGGACTATTGTAGAGATTTGTCTCATTGGCAATAATACCACATCTTCTAATTTTTTTGAATTTTTATCATGTTTAATGTAAAATTTTGAACTATTTATATCTTTCAAGGTTGTCGAAATCACCAACTCTTCATCTGAAAGAGCATTATAAATGTATCCTGTTATCGTTGTATTTTTGTAATATACATCATTGATATAACTAAAGTTTAAGAAGATGTTGCAGTCATGATTGATGGTCGGTGTGGTAATTAATTGTAGATGACCCAAAATTATCATTACCCAAACTTTGAAACGATTCCCTCTTTACAGGATTTACAAATGGATCTTTGTCCAGTGCATGACTTTTAGAAACGGTAGCAATCATATTTAATATCAATTGAGGGTATCAACTATCAGCCATATTGTAAAAAGGGTTTTTAATGTATTTTTTAGACAGAAATAGAAAGCAATTACACATTTTAAATTTGTTTGTAAAATTTTAAATAAAGACCTTAAAAACAAATGTTTGTAAAATTTTAAATGATAAGAACTTCTGCAGGAATGTTTGGGGATTAGTTGGGTCATCAAAAGTTTTGAAAAGGTAAAATAATAAAAAAAAAATGAAATCCAAGAAGAATTCAAAACGGAAAGTCCCTTATCAAATAGGGCACCATTAATCAATAATGTACCAATGTTTCGATGTTATCGACCTTTCATATGGTTTCCATCACTGCAGTATGACATTTTTTGTAAAATATATAAAATTAGAATTTGACAAGGCAACCGTGATTGATGACTGTCTGTGTCATCAGTCATAATTCAAATAGTTCACTTAACATAATATTAGGCAAACTTGGTGTATTAAACATTTGTTTAAATTTGTGAACGAATTATTCCTCTGTAGTATGATCATTTGGGACATCATCAATAATTTAGAAACGAAAAAATCTATAATGTTTATTAAAAGTAAGGCAACAATTGCTTGAACAAGGCTTTCCGATTTTTTTAAAAATTTTTGTGTCTATTTTCTTACAAAATGAAGCGCAAAACGAATACTGGTTAATATAGTCTTCAAATTACTTTATTAAATTTTATTGATCCTTTCTGTATCCGGTTAAAACTTACTTGAAGGAACATAGTTCAGGTTGTATTTGAAGTTGTCGAACTCGATGATCTTTATTGTCCTAGATATATTGAACCTGAAAAAAAACCACATACACGTGCCTATTGGTGCATAGTTTTGTACAGATCAAATGTGAAAAGTAAACACAAAAACAATTTGTAACTTCAAAATAACGAAGTGTTTATCACCTTAAGCAAAGTTACCATTAGCAGAATCTGGCTGAATTTTTATTGACGTTTCTTTTATGAATTACAAAGAAGTATTTCTATTTTTGATTTCAGGATCTGATAGTTGTTAGCATAGCTGATACACCTTCATCCATTTGGTATTGTTATATAATATTTAAACTTTGGAACAAATATTCATTTGCGATGGCAGACAACTTGGACATATATTGTTTTATAAATGAATTTAAAGAGACATTAAATGTGTAGGTATATTTATATTAATTTACAGAAAAAAAAATGACATCACAAAGGAACATAATTTGAGAAATAAACAAAAACTTACATATCTCCTAAGAAAGGACTTTTTGTCATTTTCATGTCATCATAACATTTGATATCTGAAAAATATAATTGACACGTTTGGTTTTCTTATAACAAAAGAGAAGGGGCATTAAGGCCCCATTTTGGCCCAAGAAAATAAAATATTTGACAACTATTTCAAATTTGCACATATTGTTTTGAAATGCATAGAGTCAGGAAATATAAATGAAACAGATCAGATTTTTTATCTGATGACGTTACGATTTTGTCACAATATGTACTGTTTTCATGAAAACGATGAAAAATACAGAGTTTATGCAGTTTTCCATCTTTATTTCCATTATAGAAACATCGTGCGCACCCAAGAAACAACAAAATAATTTAAGAGAAGCTTTATTATAACTATTAACATAATCTCACCAAAAAGTTAGTTCTTGTGTGCGTACATACTTTGCCAATCTAAAATATACTTAAAACTTGATGAAAAACAAGGAAAATCAAGAAATTTTACAAAATATACGAATTTCGTCATAGTTTGTTGCCATGGCAACTCGTTAAACATGACATTTGCTTTTATTTTCGAAAATACATGGTACCTTAGTCCAGTTATAACAAACTTCAGAATAGGTATGATAACTTTTAAATTTGCAGTAATATTTGGGCCAAATGAGGGCCTTATTGACCCTACTCCTTTTCCTTTGTGTAAACGATATACAAATAATTATCTTTTACGTCAATTTTGATTGTCGGTACCAAATTAGTTTGCACAATCTCGATAACCAGCATTTATGCAAATTTATTCAAATGTTTTTATTACACTATGATAGTGTGTTGGTTATAAACATACACGAGGTTTTCTATAAATTAAGATGTTATTCATTTTACATTTGTGTGCAACATGTATGTTTCTTAATATATAATTGTGTAAATGATAATGAGGCTTAAACCAGACGACAAAAATATCCGAAAGACAGTTAAAGGTCAACATAAAGTCTTCATCAATAGACAGGAGTCAATACATTATTTCACGCTGTAAAGCGTCCTAAGCCTGTAAAGCCATAAAGTCTTCAACAATAGACAGTAGTCTATACATTATTTCACGCTGTAAAGCGTCCTAAGCCTGTAAACATAAAGTCTTCAACAATAGACAGGAGTCTGTACATTATTTCAAGCTGTAAAGCGTCCTAAGCCTGTAAACATAAAGTCTTCAACAATAGACAGGAGTCTATACATTATTTCACGCTGTAAAGCGTCCTAAGCCTGTAAACATAAAGTCTTCAACAATAGACAGGAGTCTGTACATTATTTCAAGCTGTAAAGCGTCCTAAGCCTGTAAAGATTTTGAGTTAATTCTATAGAAATAATCAAGGCCTTGTCATTTCCATCTTTTTCTCGTTAAATAAACATTTTTACCTATTATGTCTGTTTGTTTTGTTCACACATTGTTATCAATATAAAGGAATTTTATGCAACTGCCATACATATGAGAGGTTTAGTTAGCTTTAAAACCAGGTTTAATCCACCATTTTCAACATAAGGAAATGCCTGTACCAAGTCAGGAATATGACAGTTGTTTTCCATTCGTTTGATGTGTTCGAGCTTTTGATTTTGCCAATTGTTAAGGGACTTTGAATTTTCCTTAGAGTTCGGTATTTTTGTTATTTTACTTTTTACATACAATTAGTGTATCAATGATTATTACCGATAGCATCACAAAATGATGACTTTTTGGTTGGAAATATCCCGGGGGACTAAACGTCAATCGGTACCAGCAATGGAATAGACCTATTAGATATACAGAAACCTGTATTCTAAAAATAACCCTAACTTTAGCCCTTAAACTGATTTGGATTTTTAATAAACAAGTTAAATAAAGTTTTGATAGAATTTAAATCTCACAAAAAAGATACTTATACTTTACCTTTCAGTCCAACCGTTTTGTTGTATGGATTTATTCCGAGATAACAGGAGCAATCTTCAGTTGAAGGATTGCAGTAACATTGGTTTTTCGAGTTCATGACAAAAGTATATCCTCTATCGGTATTACACATACATTTTATGTCGACCGTAGTGTTACCATATTCATACGTCTCTTGACCTAAGCTGTTACAAAGTGATTTTTGATAGGTGCAGTCACTGTTTCCATTTGTTTCAAAAATTTCAGGTTGATATCGAGTTACACTGCATGTTGCTCTGTTTAAGTTTGGCTGAAAGACGTATTTATGACCTGCAAATATTAAGTAAAGACGTATTTAATATACATGCGTCTCAAGTTTCTTAATTTATGGTTTTATAGTTAAAGTTATATTTCGCTGCATTTGTCACTTCTTAATTCAGATACATGCACTTAAATACGTTCAAAACAAAAGTTACTTCATTTACATTGAAATACAATAAGGAATAAAAACGACTTTTATTTATTGAAGAAACTTTCTTTTTAATTGTTTATCAAACATTTTCATTATATTATGGTTTAACATGCATAAAAAAAAATATACTTTCATTGTTTGCTCTGATAAAGCTAAAAACTGAAAAAAAAAATACATACTATTGTATTAACAGGACAAACTTTTAGATATCTTCAAAGACTTACCATGATCTAATATTCTAGGTCTGTTACATTTTTCTCTGTAAACATTTACTCTAAAAGTTACGTCAAATAAGCAAGTATAATTTTTTGGAGGCTTACACATGGCTTTTGCCCGAATTTTCCAGTGTGCCTGTGATGGACAGGTGAAGTTGTAGGCTTCATTCAAGGATAACATCTAAATAAAGATAAATGCATATACATCAATGAATTTAAGCTAGTATTCCATCAAAATTGTATTTTGTCAAAACTGACGCACAGTGGCTGTGGTGAACCATGAAAAACCACATAACGGACATGTGTACTAAAGTTAAAAGATTTGATGGGTAAATACTTAAATCTAAATCTTATACTGAGATGTACTGGTTTCACACTTTACATTTCTGCATCAGGGAACCATGAAATCGGGGTAGAATCGTTATTTGGAATATGATTCAAAACGTGTACGACCATTTAATGCCAGTTTGTGTAATTATTTCCTTTACACAAATGTTATCTAACGTATATTTCGATGTGCCCTGTTGTTGTATAAATGTTTATAAATCCATTGGATGTTGGATGCGTAATGATTGATAATTGAGTCTTAGATGCATGCTTTTTTTATTAGTTGTTAATTGGCTTTGAACTAGCTGTCAGTAACTTCGAGTACTCTCAGATCTGTACTTAGTGTCTTTTTGTTGTTGGGATGTACAAGTATCCGGCCACGTCCACTCTGTGTCTTTGTTAGATGTATTTCTATTTGTATCCATCTGATGAGTTAAGACTTTTTCAACTGATTTTTATAGTTCGTTCTTATGTTGTACCGTAACACCACTGTCCCATGTTAGGGTGAGGGTAGGATCCCGCTAACATGTTTAACCCCGCCACATTATGTATGTTTGTGTCTGTCCAAAGTCAGGAGCCTGTGATTCAGTGGTTGTCGTTTGTTGATGTATTGCATATTTGTTTTTCGTTCATTTTTTGTACATAAATTAGGCCGTTAGTTTTCTCGTTTGAATTGTTTTACATGTCATTTCGGGGCCTTTTATAGCCGACTATGCAGTATAGGCTTTGATCATTGTTGAAGGCCGTACGGTGACCTATAGTTGTTAATTTCTGTGTCATTTGGTCTCTTGTGAAGAGTTGTCTCATTGGCAATCATACCACATCTTCTTTTTTATAATTATAATGTGTATATGCACGCTTCAGTATGACAGTACATGTTTGATTTCTTTGCCAGATTCATTTTATAGATATTACTCCATAGCTTTGTTCTTCAATTCACAGTTGTGGAGTAATCGTCAGTTTGCAAAGAATTCCATTCAAACTGGTGCTAGGGGGCGTCTTAAACTTGCAGTAAAGTGAGATTGTTTTTGCTCCGTGTGCAAGGCCTTACTGTGACTTTGAGATGAAGAACAGCAATTAAGTCGCTGTGCCATTGCTTTTTGTGTTTTTTTGCTCTGCATTTACTGATTTTGTGTCATCTATGGATTAACCCACATCCTTTTTCTCTACTACGTTAAACTGAACATATGTACTAAATTTAATTTTGATGTTACAACTGTATGGTAAAATTCCTTATTTTGAAACAAGACGGAGATACATAAAATAAAACAGAGGTGTCAGATTTAAATCATACATACCTGAAGGAAAGTCAGGAGGATGAACATGTCCATGATTTTTTTCTTCATTTATAATCTATGCCATCTAAAAAGAAAAATATTAAATAAATCTAAGGTTAAGATATTGGGTTACAATGCTTAATAACCAAACCTTTGGCTTTATAATATTGCATATGCTTGATGCACCGTTGGTCAATGTCAAGATATTTGGGTTTTTTTTTATATCCGAGTAAACATATCTTCAAATTATTATAATCAAGAAGACAGATGTCCTTAATTCTAAACATACATGTCCACATGAGTTAATGATGAGAGGTTTAGAAAATATTCTGTAAAACTACCGAGTCATAAAAATTGAACAATCATGGGTAAATAGGTAGACCTCTACAATACTATTTTGTAAAATAGTTTCAATGTGATTCGGCATTAAATACAAAGGCCACACGAATAATAAAGCCTCTGACATATGTTTAAAATTTCAATATACCAAACCTTGATTTTGCATGAGAACAATGGAAACAGTGAACGCGCTTAAATTTGTGTTAACACATACAAGGTGGCAAAGGGAATTATTGCATACATCGCATTGAGTATGGAGGATAAATTGTATATTAATATCAGGAACATCAAATAACATTTTGAAACTATTTGATGTACAATACTTGAGATATAACGCTTCTAGTACTAACTATTCTTAAACATTAATAAAACGAAAATAAACAGACAATCCCGAAATTCACTAAATGATGTTATGTTCGTTCTTTTTTTGTATTTGGTTTTGTAAATAATAAGATGAGAACCTTGTTTCTTCATACTGGATACCAGAACTTAATATCAAAACGTAATAATTATGAAGAACGGTAACCGGATCGTTTAGATAGGTTGTCTTTCCCCAATTGTTTTCTATCATTCGTTCTACAGTAAGCTGTCTGTAGAGTTGTAGAATAGTTCGCCTAATTAAAATAGTAAATTTGTGTAAACAAAAATGGTCAGAATATTTTGATAATTTTCACATTAACTCTTGTTTGGTTTTCGAGTTTTCTGACTTGTAAGTGCTTCTTTCAATTTATCATTTTGGAAAAAAAGAGAGGTCTGTTATCTTATGTTTATAAAGGCTGCACGATGTGAAATATAGAACAAGTAAATATTTTATTAGAGAAATACTGGTCACAATTACGCACTATAGCATACAAATGTTCACATATGGCATTTAACTTTGAAACCTACAATTCCCACCTCAAAGATGTAGTCCGTCAGATAAATTTATGATATTTATTGTTTCTTTTTCAGTTAACGCGTTCTCCGTCAAACTGTCAACGAGAACTCATTTGCGACAATCTAAATGTTTGGTTTATTTAAAAACATGACAAAGAAGGGTTGTCAATAGACTTTGGCGAAGTATGACGAACATAACCGGTTTAATAATACACATTTAAAACACCACTATTTACCATAGAATTAATAGACTCCTATCCTAATAACAAAAGAAGAGTTGAACTGTGATCTTTTCATTGAGTCGATTTGAAGAATTGTATTGATCTTTATGTATAAGTCTTGTATTTTTAAATGCATTAAGAAAACATATTGTGTTCTGTCTTTATCAATCGTAACAAAAGAATAACGATTTTAAATTCTTGTTTATGATCACTATCAGAATTGTACACAAATGATAATGTGATCCTACAAAATCAATTATGGATATATAAATGGTAAAGATCGTTGGTATAATCGTAATTCATATATAATGAATATTTATTTTCAACGGTTAAAACTTGTATTACAAATTAAGGGAAGCATGTTCACAAATGCAGAATTTCATCTACCGTACAATTACGATTTTATATGTAAAACATTGCACAATTTTTATTTCGTAGATTTTACCCAATTTTATACAAAAACTGCTCCAACAGAATTTTTGGAAAGAACGACTCCAATTTTACGGTCACAATCACGAATTGTGATATGTCGATTGTGACAATTTAAGTGCTTGTAGATTTGCATGGCGGGTATGTTTGCTTTGAAAATGACGCTTGTCTGTCGACGCACATGGTTTCGTTCCATTTGAAGTTCTTGCTTTTGTTTGCTACCATGATATGTCTCTGTTCACTAGTTTACGAGATTTGAATCACGGAAAACTACTGTCGTCATTAATTCACAGATTTACATATGATTGAAATCGTATCTGATTGTGATGCTGTTTCATTGGCATTCACCAAAGTTATGATTTTCACGTTGATTTTATTTTATAAAACAAGTACATAAATTATGAAAACAACTTGCACTCTTTGAATCCCTTTCACTTATATTTCCCTTTTGTTTGACTTTTCTTCGAAAAGAAAGTCAGTATTCGAAATTTTATAACAAAGGAAAGCCGTTGAAAACAAGTTTATCTTAATTTAGTAATTATGAATATAAAGAGGGCGGGTACATAGTATCGCTTAACGAACGATTTAAACAAAAGGGTACAAAGTAAAAAAAGGTATCAATAACGTCGCCAGAAAAATTTATCGGTTTTTGTTAGTCATATCAATTTATTAGCACATTCGTTTAGTTCGTTGTTAACAAATTTTACATCAATTTTCTCTCAATCACAAATATAATTGAAAAAAATGAACGTGATCAATACTGTCTTTTTGTGATAATTTAATTCATTTTTAATCATCAGTCATTTTCTCCCTTATCATTCTTAAAGAATAAACGACATGTTACAAGTGACAACGGTTAGTCTGCTTTGTTATTTAATGGTGTAGTTTTAAAACAATATTTGAAATTATGTGAATACATTGCAAAGAGAGTTTAATTGTCTTTACTTTGTTTCGACATATTTAAGACTAACCTGAGGACATTTACAATGAAATCAATTTGTCAAGTTTGAGTTAACCTGTTAAGTGAAATCGTGTAATTGTATTTTGTTTGTGGTTACATTTTCAAAGATATTAAAAATTATATTTTTTTTAAGATTAATAAAACGTAGGATGACAATATTCATTAAACTAATTATGCTTACCTGAAACTACTTCATCCATTTACAAATGTGAATAAAACATAGATGATAAAATGAATGCTGTATGTTGTCCATTTTAAGTGATTGGATTGCAAGTACACAGTGTTTAATGTGCAATATTATCACATATTTGTCATTGTGAAATTATTTATGATAGAACTTCCATTTTGACACAACGGATATTGTATTTGAACTTAAAAGTGATACTTTGTGATTCATTTGGACACAGCCCAATATTTATAAGTTTTGTATAAATATGTGTGTACCTTATATTGACATATTCTAAATAACTTGTTGTATTTAAAATAAACATTTAGACAGGATACCTGATATTTTTCAATAGCAAACTGACAGACCATGCAACTGATATTTAAACTTAAGCTTGACGTCTTGTATTTAACATTGACCTAAATAAGAAATGTAAAATTGTAGTGTAACAATTCGAGTTAAGGTACTGCATTTAAACTTTAAAATATGATTTAAATATCGTGTTTAGTATTTTTTTATTTAAGTAAACTTTTGAATGATTGCATACGGAACGATTATGTTCATTATTTATAATCCAAACAAAGGAGTAATGACCTTGCATGTTGAAAAACAGATCATGTTCTATTTTCTGTATAATAACTGAATTTTCTTTTTAAAATTTTGTTTAAAACTTCAGTACTCAAAATAAGAAAACAAACTATGGATTCGAAATGACCAAAGTTTGCCAAAAGGGATACAGATATACCTGTGATCACAGATACAGTACTGGATTTTAGTAGTTACAGTCTACTGACAAATATGTTATATATACAGTCGTTTTTACGAAATTCAAACATCGGATAAATACTGTAATCATTTATTCATAGATACTTATTTATGATAGAAATTGTATCATACGTTATTGAACGGAAACGAAATAAAGTGCCAGTTTCCAATAAACCAAGGACAACTCCTCAACGGTAAAAATCAAACTCGTATACTAGTATATTGAACTTGACCTCCATTTTGTCATCAGTATCAGCATATCACAATTTGCCGACATTTATTCTTAAATACTCATTTATGATAGAAATTGTACCATAAGTTATTGAACGGAAACGTAATAAAGTGCCAGTTTCAAATAAATCAAGGACCATTACTCCTGAACGGTAAAAATCAAAATCGCATATAACGAACTTCACCTCCATTTTGTCATCAGTATCAACATATCACAATTTGAAAAGCATTGCTTTAACGGTTTATACCATTGCAGGGACACTGTTGGCAGCCGCCAGTTTCCAATAGATCAAGGGACATACGGTAACTCATGAACGGTAAAAGTGAAAATCGTCTATATTGAATTTTACAACCATTTTGCCATTAGTATTAACATATTAAAATTTTAACTCTTTACCGTTCCTATGACCCGAATTCGGGTCATAAGCTTTTTTTTCGTTATCGGTAAAAAGTATCCACATTTTAGATAGGTGTTCTTTAAAATACATATGCAATGTTATACATTTTTAAAAAGCTAAGGTTCTCAAGATTTTAAATATGTAACTGTCATCGGTAAATACTTGCTTGAATTTACACAAAAAATTATTAATTTAAAAAACACAACCCGAGAAAACTGCAAAAATTTACCGCCATTTCACAAAGTACAAATATGCAGTTGAACGGCAAATTGGGTATTAAATTCCAACCGCACTTCCATGAACGGATACTCGAATATTCAGTAGACAAAACTAAAACTTTTGGCCGATTTATTTTTTCTAAAATCACTTTTATTTTTTTTTAAGAATGATTTTCTTAAACGTATGGTCGTAAGTGGTCAACAGTTTGCCGTTGTTTTTCTTTGTTTCGGACATTTGGACTCGTATAACTTGATGCGTATTCAAATAGGAAAAACTAAAGTTAGCTGCATGTTACTCATTACATTATCTAAATGTTGGTGTATTATACATATTTATTAGTCTACAGTTTACTTCGCAATGATTAGAGAAAGATTCAAGTCGGAGGATGAAAAAGCGGATTTTTTTCCCCCGTCATGACTTGTTATTTGTTAGAATTTCTTATCAAAATGGCTACGCCCCCGAGAGAAGTTGACGATGAAATAGGTTAGATTTTCTTCAGTTTGAAAGTCCCTAGAACTTGTATTGAACATTAATTTATTTGATTAAACACTGCTGTGGTAAAATTATGCAACACAGTTCTTAAAGTCTCATTAGGATACTCTATATAGATGAAAATGGACCTCCGAGCAGTAGTTTTTTTTTGGACCTTGAGCTGTTGATTACGAACTTTATACTTTTCCTTTTGATTTCAGAAACATGAACCGTACCTCGTATTATAGAACACTGACAGAATACAGAGGTTTCCGGTGTCATATTTTTACGGTCATTCTTACATAAATTTTGAACTGATGTAGTTTCAGAAACAAAAGTGGGTGTTTGTACGATGCCGTGATGGTATTGGAAAAAATGGGCGTGTCCAGTCTTTATTGTTTTTTGTTTTGTGAAATAAAATGTTACCCATAAACATGTACATGTCCCGATTGATTTCTTCAACAGAACTGTGGTTATTTGTTTCACTAGCGGATTAAGGGGTGTTTGGTGAGAAGGGGGGGGGGGGGTTCGGGAACCCCCCCCCCCCCCCCCCCCCCCGGCTTTAAATCTTAAAATATTTTTTGTGAACAGGAAGCATACAATCACATAATCATTTCTCGTTTTAATGATATCTTTACTAAAAATTGAATATCCAGTGAGAACTTAATGGGGTGACACGTTGTCGCTACACTCCATTTAATACACACGTCATAATCACATTGGCCTGGGGGAAAATAATTAAAGGCTCAAAGGATTTAATTAAGACAATCCAAGGCTGCTATCCCTATATTTTTTTACTTTGTTGGTTTTATAATTAAAACGACATTTTCTGTTAGCTTGATTTGAAGAAAAATACTTTCTTACTCTAATATATCATTAATATAATTTTTTTTATTATTTTTTTTAAATTCTGCAACTGCTGAGACACCTGCTGAATCTAAGGATATTGCAAACTTTATATCCTAGTGCTCAAATGTATAGCATTCTAAATGAAAACTGGAATTCACCTAGTTCTTTTCCTTTTCCTAAACTAGAAATGTACGGGTTTAAAAGATGCTTCAAATATGCATGGCTGCACTTTTACCCATGGATTGTCTATTCAACTTCACCAGACGGAATTAACTGCAAATTTCGCGTTTTATTGTTCGCTACTGACCACAACCTCGGACATTTTATTAAGAAACATGTTCAGAATTGAGTAAAAGTAAATGGTGCATGTAAATCTCACGAAAAAAACAGAATACCTCCAAATAGCCATATTAAGAGCACAAGACTTTCATCCCTCTCAAACTCTTAAAGACTTATTTGCGATGAACTGTGACAAGCGAGAGACTCAATTGCCTTGCTTTAATGCATATTCATATCAGCACGAAAATTGTTAAAAGTGCAGTGAATCAGTGATCAATCAGTATGCTAGAGCCTACAACATCAGGATGAAACTATCAACAATAGACATTTTAGGATAACTTTGTACATTAAATGTTTGCCATTTTCTTTTATTGAAGTATTTTTGTCTGTAATTAAATAACTACACTAATCTAAAAAGTTAATTTTGAATAACCATATGCCGGATGAACAAAAAGTGTGCCATATATTGAAAACATAAGGTTTGGTATAACAATTGAGAAAACTTCTATAATGTTCAAAAATGCTTCTAAAAAAAAACCCGCTTTAAGCTCTGGATCCGCGCCTGTGTTTGTATTTGTTCAGAAAATGTGAAATGCATATTTTTTACTCTCAGATTTTGATGACTATGAAGAGCCTTATACAGATGAAGGAATGTCTGAAGAAGAGGAAGATTATTTGGACTTCCTACTTGGTGATGATCCATGGATACCAACAGATACTTATATGTTTGTATTCAAAATTACACAATAATGCAGACTATCTAATTTAAATAAAAACATTATCAATAAATAATCATGGCAGTTTGAATTGCTAATAAATATTTGTTATAATCAACTGACAATACTAGTGTCTTATGATATTACAAACTAAAATATTTGTGTACACACAAGAAAAACATAATCCCGAAAACGCTCACTTATTATCGAAAATGCCCGCTTATTATCGAAAATGCCAAGGGAACGCTATTTTATTGACTAGATCTACTTTCTAGACTTTATGCATCAGCCATCTTTAATAGCTTTTGTATTCAAAATAAGCTGTCCAGCGCTATTTTTCGCAGTTTTCACTAATTATTGTCTTTCCGTTAGGTAAATTAGACTTTTTCCTATAATTCCTCAGATACCATCAGATAACTTCGGCCCTTTAACAGTCCAATTAATTAAGAAGACCTCGTACATATATTACATTTACATAATTTCTAATCATTATTGAAGTTTATTTCATGTCATTTTTAACAGATCTTCACAATCATCAATTGAAAGTGGATCAAGTTCATGTACCACCAATAGCACAAGGATCTACTGGAAAGATGAAAACAGCAATGATGATGGGGCTCCAGATCCGAGAACAGTCCAGTTCAAACCAAGCAGGAAACCAGGCATACAATTTGGAAGATTGTCTAGGTTAAATAATAGTCTTATAGATAATTTTTTTTTGTGAATTACAGTTCAAAATTTATTAACATTTGTCTTTATTACTTAACTACATGTCCTACATGTAACCATAATTTTCAGGGAGAAAAAGATGTGAATGAATATTATTTTTAAATCTCAGTGTAAATAAATAAGAAATGCTATTTGGGAAGGTTTCCAAAATATTCTAAACTATTGCTGTTTATTTCCAGACACACATTGAAGTTATTGACCTCTCCTGTTGATTTCTTTAAATTGTTTTTAACTGGTACATTGCTAACATCTCTCTGCTTGTCTACAAATCAACATGCTGCATACCATATCAGGAATGGTAGATTTCAGTCATATGCTGGACCTACTGGAACTTGGGAAGTTGTTACAGAGCAGGAAATGGAAAAGTAAAACTTAGCAACACAAATTAAAACAATGAACATTGTACATATAAGTGCAGAAAATCTAGAAAGGTCATATTCAATAAAAGCAAATACTTTCATTTAATGTACATGTAGCATTCTTTCATTTAATTAATAATGTTTATGCATGCAATATGTTCATATTGAATATTGCATGAGACACTATCTGGCTTGTAAGTCTGTGTTTAAGTTTTAAATCATCTAATCACAAGAACATCATTTGGAATAAATGTCAGTACTACATGAAGATATATGTTTTATTCTAATAAGACAGGCACCTTAAAAAACAAATTTTAGGAAAAAATAAAGAAGCCTTGATTAATGTTAAATTTCATTTCAGCTTATTTTCTGCAAATATATATAATGTAAGATTTTTTAGGTTCATTGGTATATTGATATACATGTCCTTTATGAAACTCAGTACTGTTGACCGCTACTGGAGTAGAGATGTCCTGTACAGATTCAACCCTGTTCCATTGTGTATGTCATGCTTAAGATTTAAGGCCATCCTTTCATTTCTACAGATCACACCTTTACCTGATGTTGACAAAGGTAAGAGACTGTCCAGGAAATTAAATCTTAAGATTAATCTTAAAATTAATTTAATGTATGAATTATCATTGTTAAATAATGATATTCCTGTCCTATTTACTTTGAAATTAAAAAAATATGTTTTGTATCATGGGTTTTCAATATACTATAGACAATGATAGACATAAGTTATCTTACTATAAGTTCTCTATCTATCAGTGTTTTCTGACTGACTTAGTATTGTATTAATGTTGACTGTTGTGTTCAGTTTATTAATGTACACATATCACATAATCTTCCTTTTTCATGTTTTTGCAGATAATAAACTAACAAGAGTAGAACCAATCATTGAACATGTAAGAAATATTTCAAGGGAACTTTTTCAACCTTATGAAAAGATTGCTGTTGACGAAAGAATTGTTAAGTCAAAACATAAATGGAGTGGAATAAGACAATTCATGAAAGATAAACCTGTAAAATTTGGGATTAAGCTTTGGGTATTAGCTGATACCATTACTGGCTATACATGTGATTTTTATGTTTATTTAGGGAAAAAAAGAACTCAAATAACTAATTTATCAAAAGGTCTGGCATATAGTGTAGTTATGAATTTAATGCCAAGTTATTGTAATCAAGGTTATAGGCTTTTTATTGATAGTTTTTATACAACTTTAAATTTAATTAATGATTTGTTAGACCAGAAAGTGTACACCATAGGAGCTGTTCGTGGAAACAGTACTGCCAAGCCTAGTGTGTTTAAGAAAAATGATGGCTGGGAAAAGCTTGCTGGCAGGGGTGACTTTAGATGGCATAGAGAAAACAGATTTTTGACAGTTCAGTGGAAAGATTGTAAGGTAGTAACAATTGTTTCTCCTATACACACAGGTAGTAAGGTATCTGGTTGCACCAGAACTTTTCAAGCTAGAACTGGTTGGAAAAAACAGGTTGTAAAGCAACCAGAATGTATTAAAAGTTACAATGAAGGTATGTTTGGTGTGGACAAGTCAAACCAATATCTGTCAAGGCATCGGTGTTATATTAAAACTAAATTTCATTGGTGGAAAGTATTGTTCTTCCATTGCCTTGATATGATGGTAGTAAATTCTTTCATTCTCTTCCAGGAATTCAGAACTGAATTTCCAAATAAATTCGAATCACTTCCTGCACATTTTGGACAATTAGAATACAGAGAGTCGTTGGTTAGATCATTGTTAGATGTTGAATCATTAGAAAAGAAGCATGAATCGTTTGCATGCACCCCTGCTTTTAATGAAAATTCTAATCGACTGCGTTGTACTTATTGTTATGCTCATGCAAAGATGAATAATTTGCCTGTTCAACATAATAAAACTGTATTCTGTTGTGAAAAATGCACTGTGTGTCTATGTTTAGTACCTGAAAGAAACTGCTTTCAAAAATGGCATAGTGTTGAAGGAAAAACAGTTAGAAATTGGGTTAAAGAAAATGGTAGAAAGAGAAACCAACTGTTATGAATGTCACAATCGTCATGCATTAACTGTCAAGTGTTAAATAAACAATATTTTTATGTATTATGTATTAATAATTTATAGTTCTTGTTGAGTTCATGATTAAAAAGTAAGAAAATGAAAAAAAAGTAAAGGATAGAAAAATGAAAAAGTATTATGTTAAATATTACTTATTTGTTTTAGTGGGAAAAAAATGGAAATGGAAAAAAAAACTATCCTTACTGGGGACTTTATATGTGTTGAGATACAATTGAATATCAACACTATCAAGTTCTTGGATAGGATGGAAAATAACTACACAATGAATGAATGTGTCAACATCAACAGAAAAGGACAGAGGTTTCTTTAAAAGGTAGGTTATTGCAACACCTTTGGACATACACTTATGTATAATTGAACTGTCAGTAGTATGCCGAACACCTGCTATAATAACAAAAGAGCAAACAAAAAAAAATGGTTCGGCAAGATACTATTGGTATCATATCAAAGTATCTGTTTACCTAAAACAAAACAATAAACATAAACAAGTCAAACTTTAATTTTTTTTCATATTGATGCATACGGTGAGGAATTTCAATTTTTCTGTTGCCATAGCAACCATTTGGTTTTTCACACCCCTTACTGAAATAAAAACTTGAAATCTTATGTGAAGTCACTTATTTAGACTGAATACAGTTTACATAACAAAATAGAAAATATGATAGTACCTATGGTCGAATTTTAATTTTTTAAAGTTGCATGGTTGCCATAGCAACCATAAAACTGAGTTGGTTTACAAGTTTTTAAAACTATGTGGAAATAACTTGTATTAGTTTAAAGTGTTACTAAGTGTAAACTGCTACTTACAGTCAGTATTGAAGGTAATAAGACAAAATCAACATTTTTAGGAAGAAAAGGTTGTTGCTTAGCAACAGAAATTTACATGAACGGTCAGATTTATGTAAAACAAAACTCCTACGTTTTTTCCAGTAAACAATACCAGGTAAAGCTCTTGTTAGAAAAGACCCTATTTGACTATATAAGTTCATGTTCTGGTGGATGGAAGTCTTGAAACACACAAAAAACGTTGTAAAATCCGCTTTTACTTGCTGTTTAATTCGTTGCTATGGCAACAGTTGTCATGGTATATGACTGAAACTGAGTTTTAAAATTTTGTGTTACACTATTTATTAATGTAAAACATAAAAACAAACATTGGTAATTTGTAAAAGCATTTTTTTTTAGGATTGGAAAATCTTGTTCATTTCCATGTAAAATTCCTTAAAAAAAGCACAAACAGTAAAGAGTTAAAATCAATGGTTGAATGGTTCATAAGTTATTGCACGAAAACTGTTAAAAGCCGTCCGCCACTTTTTCTCTCCGAAAAAAACCCAGTTTAACTTAGGTTTTTAAGATAGATAAAACGCAGAATGACCATGTTTAGTAAACTAAATATGCTTACCTGAAACTACTTGATCCAGAGTTAAACAAGACAAAGATGATCAAATGAATGCTTTATGTTATCCATTATAAGTTATTGACTTGAAAGTACAAAGTGTCCATTGTGCAGTATCATCCCATATTCATCACTGTAGTGAAATGTTATTTGATATTACTTCCATTCAAACACAACAGATTCAGCATTTGAACTTTAAATGATATTTTGTGATTCATTTAGACAAACCCCAAAATTTATAAGTATATGATGTACCTTACATTGCGACTGATTAATAATAACTCGTTGTGTTTTAAATCAAAAATTTAGACAGGATACCTGATATTTTTCAATAGAAAACTGACAAACCATGCAAATGATCTTCTAAAGTTTGAAGTCTGGTATTTAACATTGACCTAAATTAGAATTGCAAAACTGAATTTAAAAAACATATAGATTTTAAAGTTTAAATGCTTTTTTATTTTTTAAGTAAAGGAAACTTTTGAATGAATGCATAAGGAACAATAATATCCATTATCTATAATCCCAACAAAAGAGTAATGACCTCACATGTTGAAAACAGATCATGTTCTATTTTGTGTAAAATAAAAGATTTTCCTTCAAGTTTAAAACTACCCCCAGCAGGCACCCGATGTTTTACATACGTTGATGTTTGGTTAAAAATAGGTCGTAACATCGCCGACCTGAATTCAAAGTCGGCTGACAAACGTCAGTCTGACGTAATAGAAAGATGTCTACTAACCTTGCTTTTTGATTGCGACCTTATACAACATTGCACAACGCCAACACAACGTCGGATGCCATATGTCGATCGGACATCTAAATAATCTAAAATATTGAAATCGCACGTACATGAAAATAAAGTTTTAAATTGTATATTATCCTTTTATATTAATATTTATATATATGTATCCTATTGTTATCTAAAATAATAATGAACATTAAAATAAAGTTCAATATAGCCCTCTACTAAGATAAATAACGTCGAACACGCCTGTTTCCAGTGTTTATGTTATATTCAGATTACCCCCTGTTTTCAAGGTACAGTTGCGCCCCTTTAGTTTACGCAATAACATCAATATACTATTTAAATTATTCAATTGATAGTTTTTAATGTTCGTATTATAATCGGTGTATTTGTGATCTTTCGTACAAATAAATAAATAGGTACACACGAGTGTGATGTGTATGCACAGATGATTGATAAATATGTATGTATGTGTGCGGTGTAGAGACTAGTTGGTTGTCTAGTTCATGGTATTTCTATTACATTATCACGATGCATAAGATTACGTACGGAACTAACATTTAATTTCATTTGAAAACTAGGCGCAAACCTTGTGGAAAAAGTAAAGAACATCATTATCAAGATTAATTAAACCAGCTAAAAGTGAATAAAAGGTTTGTACACTAATCGTATAGTTTCATGTTTAATTTCATTTGATCGTTTCCTTTACTCTAAAGAAGAGGCATTCTTGGAGTAAAAAAATGGAAAAAAGGGGTGTCACCAAAATTAGGAGGAAAAGCTTTTTACACAGTTCTTGGTGTAAATGATGTCTTGTGACCCTAAAACAATGTTTTCCTGCTTATATTTTTGGTTAATGATCCTCTTGAAATGTCGGTTTGGTGGGATGGCAAACAATTTTATGTATTATAGTAGAACCCAGTCAAGATTAGTTATGTCGCCAAGCTGTTTATAAATGCGGGCCCGGAAAAACTCGAAACCATTAATAAGTCAACTCGGACCGTCTATAAAATCAACTCGGACAAAGTCTGTTAATAAGTCAACTCGGACCGTCTATATTCATTTACTCGTACAGCTTTTAAACAGAAATGAAAATAAATTAAAGGAGAGTCATTCAATCTTCAACAATAGACATATATATGTTAATACAAATTGTCCTGAGTCTGTAATCTTTAATTGTGTCTTCTTAGACGGCCCGAGTTGTCTTTTTCGTCAATTATAGTCAAAACAACTCTTCCTTTATTTTGCGCATTATAGAAGACATAAGCAACACGACGGGTGTAGGAGCAGGATCTGCTTACCCTTCCGGAGCACCTGAGATCACCCCCAGTTTTTGGTGGGGTTCGTGTTGCATAGTCTTTGGTTTTCTATGTTGTGTCATCTGTACTATTATTTGTCTGTTTGTCTTTTTTATTTTTGGCCATGGCGTTGTCAGTTTGTTTTCGATCTATGAGTTTGACTGTCCCTCTGGTATCTTTCGTCCCTCTCTTATAGAAGACCTGAGAGACACAGTTTTAACGTCGAAAACATTCACTAAATTATTTATATAAGTAAAATTTCTCCTTTTATACTTTGTCTAAATTTGCATGATAGACGATCCGAGTTGAATTGAAAGACGGTCCGAGTTGAATTGATAGACGGTCCGAGTTGAATTGATTGACAGTCCAAATTGAATTGATAGACGGTTCGAGTTGACTTCATGGTCAGTCCGATTTGAATTGACAGACGGTCCGAGTTGAATAGATAGACGGTCCGAGTTGACTTATTGACGGGGTCCGAGTTGTCGCGCACCCGCTGTTTACATGTACGAAAATTTGTAATGTATCCCTATTTTTTCAATAGACCTTTTTCACTAATTGAGAAACTGCGGCACTTGATGAGAATTTGAGACACGCAAACTTTTAGCTTCACCATGTTTATACAACAATCACTTTAATTTCCGGCGTCCGACATGTTCTCTACCATGTTATGTGCAGGTGGACATCAAAGTTTTACAGGAAAATGCGTGATATCAAGGTGGTGTTTTTATCCTTATTTGAAGTATATACACAAAATAGGAATACATGCTTTTGTAATTCTGTAATGTATTACATAGAAGATAAACATGTCATAGGCTCATAAGAATAAATGTTAAAAATGATGAGTATACAAAAATTGTACGGTTTTTTTCTTACATGAAGTCAATCTTTTTTTATTAAACATTACTTATACTAAATCAATTCCAATGTCTGAAGGGAGAACGTATAATTGTGTATATACTTTTTACTATTAAAATTTGCGGTCATTGGTCAGTCACCGATCAGTAAAGTTTGCGTCAAACTCACGTCACCAATCCGTCAGACTTATAATAAAAAAAATTGACAAAACGAACGGATTGACCTTTTCTGACGGATTGAACTCTTCTACATCACATTTTGAACTCATACAAATTACGGAATCCTAGTCTCGTTTCTTTTCATTAAAATGGCGCCACGGAAAAATACGACTCGTTCAAGTACGAAAGCTCGTCATTTTATTAATAACCATTCAGCAAAGTTTTACGATTTTTGTTAGAAAATAAGAGAAATATGCCGATAAAACAATAATTTAAAGATAATTAAAGAATTGTGATTGTCGTTTATATTTAGTTTTTTTTTTATCACGATTGTTCTTAGAAAAAACAACCCACTGCATTCAATATAGTTACAGTTTGTAATAATAAACCTTGTATTAGGTTCCAATTTAAAGGTATATCCTAGAAGACTGTATTTCTTCATATCCATGACAGCATCGAATGGTTTTATGATGTACATGAATAATGATATATCCTTTATGTGGCAATATAAATTCCTGAGTAAATGGAAAAACACTGAAACTGTGAATGACCTTAGAAAAAATTAATTCCTACTCGTTCGATTTTCTCGCCCTGTTCATGGATCCTTACTAATATAACCAATATTCTTTTTTTCAAATTCCGACAACTACCAACCGCTTTATACTTAAAGAGTGTATCAGAAATATTCCTCTGATGTCTTCGATCACATCATCCTGTAGTATCCTACAATGGTGTAAAGTGTCATAAATATATGTCAAACCGTTAAAGAGGAGTTCCGTTTACAAGCAATGCATATGCTTAGACGGAATGACAAATAAATATACAGACAAACGGACGGACGGACGGACGGACGGGTGGATAGTGAATCTAAAACTTTGTATGCAGATGGGGGATAACCATGATAATTTGTTTTTCTTTTTGAATGTGTAATACTCAGTAATATTAAGATTTTAAAAAGACCACAGTTAAAAAGGAACAGTTATTACACAATTAAGTAAACTGAAAAAAGTAAAATAACAAAACTCGAAGGAAAACTCAAAACAGAAAGTCCTTTATCAAATGGCAAAATCAAAAGCTTAAACACAAAAAGCCTTTAGTTTTCTCAATTGAACTCTTTCATATTTTTCAAGTCGGAGCTTTTTATAGCCGACTATACGGTATAGGTGTTTCTCGTTGTTGAAGGTCGTACGGTTGATTTTAATTGCTTACATTCACGTCATTTGAATTTTGATGTATAGTCGTCTCATTGGGAATCGTACGTCTTCGTTTTATGTTTATAAATACATGTATATATAATGTATGTAAAAACCGACGAAAATTTTTTCACATTAAATTGCGTTTTCTCGAAAATCCCTCAACTTAATTAGCATGAACAATTGTCCATTGTTATTTTCATTTACTAGTTCTGGTTCGAAATTGCTGCTGGCTGACTGCTCGTCCCCGAGTGTATCATCAGCTCAGTAGTCGGTCCTCTGAACTGAAATGATTTATAAATATTCTAAAGGTTTCCGTGGATAAATTAAGAAATCATAAAGAAAATAAGGTTCCAACTCCCTCAGGCACAGTTGACCTATGACGAATTTGGCTATTATTTTTAAGTCCTTTTTGATCATATAGTTCCTTAAGTGTCAACATATTTATACATTCCTCGCTTTTAAATGTTTTGGGTCTTTCTGAAGGTGAATCCAGGAAAGTGCTTCGGACTCACGATTTTTTAGGTTTATATTAAATTAAATTAACAGGAATAATGGTGAAATTTTAGCTTTTTTCTTAAGACATACATATGCAAGAATATTTGCCATTGGACGTGAATGAGAAAACACAATTAGCTTATATATAATCAACAAATGTTAACAGCAAGTGAACCTGATGGGTGCAGTTATAACCTGTACAACAAAATAACAAAAATATCGAACTCCGAGGAAAATTCTAAACGGAAAGTTCCTAATCCAATGGCAAAATCAAAAGATCAAACACATCAAACGTATGGATAACAACTGTCATATTCCTGACTTGGTACAGGCATTTTCTTATTTTAAAAAATGGTGGATTAAACCGAGACATTATATTGACAACGATGTGTGAACAAAACAAACAGACATAAAAGGTAAAAATGTCAATATTTGGGTACAGCAGTCAACATTCTGTTATAATCTTAATCACTATGAAAACAAACAAATATGTCAACAAAGAAAAACATTTCAAACAGGAAAACCAACGGTTTAATCTATATAAAAAACAAAAT